AACTCACGACCTTGCACTTGCCAGGCAGGCGCTTTGCCGCTGAGCTAAATCCCCAGCCCCTTTTCTGAGTTTAAAACTGGTATTTTTTTTCTTCATAGAATTTACCAAAAAAGGTCAACTGTGCCTACATTTTTTGCCCTGTGGTGTTGAGAATCCAACCCAGGACCTTGCATGTGTTGAAGATGGGCTCTACAATTTCTTTGCTGAAAGAGTTTACTCGCCCAACTTGCTCAATAGCTATGTTATTTAAATGCTCTGATTCTTTTTAGCGATTTTGATAATCTGGTCTCTAGAGAATTTATCTTTCATGTAAGTTGCTTAAGAACTGGGCATAAGGTTGTTTCAAGTACACCTTAATTATCTATCCAACGTTAGCGGAATTTATAATGATGTTCCCTATAATTTCTGATACTAGTAATTTATCTTCTTTTTACCTTGACTTATCTTGCTAGATTTTATTAATTTTACATTAATAATACATTTTTATAATGAAGACAGTTCTTAGTTTCATTGGCTTGTTTCTATGATTTGACAGTTTTCTACTTTATTCACCTTTTTATTTTCATCATTTCCTTCCCTCTGCTTACTTTATTTTCCATTTTTTTTTCTAGATTTCTAAGGTGGAAGTATAGATTATGATTTAACTGTTTTCTAGTAAGCATTAAAAACTATACATTTCCAGCCACGCATGATGGAATACATCTGTAATTCCAGCACTTCAAGAGGCTGAAGCAGGAAGATCATAATTCTGGGCCCAGCCTGAGCAACTGAGCAAGATCCTATCTATATCAATCAATCAATCAATCAATCAATATTTTTAAAGAGCGGGGGATGTAGCTCAGTGGAAGGCCCCAAGTTCAATCCCAACTATCAACTATTATCTTCAAAAAAAAAAAAAAAAGGAAAACCTGCATTTCTATGTAAGCACAACTTCAACTGTACCACATAAATTATGATAGTTTGCATTCCTATTTTTACTCATTCTTTTAAAAATGGCCAAAAAGTTTTCCAAATTTGACATAAGCCAATTAGTCTACAAACACATTAGTTCAGTAAACTCAAAGAAAGATAAACCCAAAGCAATCCAAACTGTGAGACATAATTAAGGCGCACAAGGCAAAAGTCAGAGACTTCTGAAAGTAGTAAGAGAAAGGAAACTTAGCATGAAGGATACCCAGTACAATCATCAGCAACTTTAAAGGTCAGAGGCAGTGATGATAAGCAAAAACTGAACCAGGAATTCTACATCTGCCAGAACTATCGAGAATTCTGTTATCTGCCAGAATTGTCTTTCCAAAATGATGAAAAGTTCTGACATATCAAGATAAGTAACAAGAGAGGAAGTTCATTATTTTAGTCTTGCTCTGTAAGAAATTCTAAAAGCAATCCTTTACTTTGAAATCAAACGACACAAGACAGTAGCTTGAAGCACTTGGAATATATAAAAATCTCCAATAAAGGTAAGTACACAGACAAATATAAATTCACTATTATTGTAATTTTGGTTTGCAGCTCCATTTTTCTTTTCTGTAATAGGATTAAAAATATACATGAAAATTGTAAATCTGAGCTGGGTGTGGTGGTGCATGGCTATAATCCCAGCATTCAGGAGCCTGAGGCAGAAGGGTCACCAGAGTTCAAAGCCAGCCTGGGCTACATAATGAGTGGAAGGTCAGACTGCACTACAGAACAAGATCTTGTCTCAAAAACAAAAACAAAACAACCCATGTTTTTGGGCACATAACATACATAGAACCAATTTGTAATAATAACATAAAGGTGAGGGAAGCTGTTTAAAAGTGGTTTCATATATAACTTAGGTTAATGTGAATTTAAATTAGATCATTATAACTTTAGGATAATATAATATCTGTAATCCTCATAGTAAATACAAAGAAATATCTACAGAATACATATGAATATCAAATGAGATGGAAATCAAAATCCAGCACTACAACAAAATTTTAAAAAGCAGCAACAGTGGAAGAAGTAGTGTAGTAAAAGCTGTAACACATTAAAAAAAAACAGAAAAACGGCAGGTCTTTTTTAATCAATAATTGCTCTATATATGTAATAACTGTTTTGTATATAAACTAAACTCTCCAATGGAAATGTAGACACAGAATTAATTTCCCAAATAAAAATCACAGTCCAATTATATGCTGACTATTAAACAGTCATATTAGCCAGGTTTGGTTGCACACATCTGTAATCCTGGTACTTGGGAGGCTGAGGCAGGATGATCACAATTTTGAACACAGCCTAGGCAACTAACTAAAACCTGGTCTTAAAATTTAAAAAAAATGACTGGGGATGTAGCTCAGTATGAAGGCCCCAGGCTAAATTAAAAAAAAAAAAAGATTTCTATTACCTCTAAAGACTTAAGGTTGAAGCTGGGCGTGGTGGCACACACCAGTAATCCCAGCACTTGGGAGGCTGAGGCAGGAGGATCGGTGTGAGTTCAAGTCCAGCCTGGGCTACAAAGTGAGCTCAAGGCCAGCCTGAACTGCACATTGAGACCCAGTCTCAAAAAGAAAAAAAAAAAAAGACAAGGTTGAAAGGAAATTAATGGAGGGCTGGGGATACAGTTCAGTGATAGAGTGCTTACCTAGTACAGGAGAACAGCTGCACCACATTAAGTGGGGTGCGGGGGATTAGGTGAGAGAGCAAGACTAGGACAGAGAGAGAGGAAAAGACATCATCATACTTAATTGTGAAATGTATTCCCCCAAATGTCAGGTTTCCCCCTGCCCCCAAATATCAGGAACAAGACATCAACACCAGTTCTAGCCACTTTATTTCAACAGAAAACTGAAAGTTCAAGCCAGGTAGTCAGCCAAGAAAAGGAATACAAATTAGATAAGAGACAGTAAAATCATCCCTCACACAGGTAACATGATCTTACATATAAGAAAACCCTAAAGATTACACACTCAAATAAATTCAGCAAAGTTACACAATACAAAGTACCACAGAAAAAACATGATTACACTTTTATATGCTAGGAGCAAACAACCTCAAAAGGAAATTAAGGAAAAAACGTTACAAGGAAATTAAGAACATAATTCTATTTACAACAGTACCCAAAATAACAAAATACTAATAAAGGAGGCAAAAGATTTGTACAGTGAAAACTACTAAATACTGGCAAAAGAAACGACATAATATGTAAGGAAAAACATTCTATGCTCATGGATTAGAAGATCTATATGACAATGCTGCCCAAACCAAACACATCCTAAAATACATAGGAAACTTCAAGGAACTCACAATTTTGAATATAGTTCAAAACAGCCTTGAAAAAGAAAAATGCCACTTCTCTAAATTTAAATTTAACTTAGATTTTTTTTATAAAATATGCTACTATTCTCAGGAATTATATGTGGCTTGAATGCTTTAGCTATTATAACCAAAATATACTATATAGTTCTAATTTAACTGAAAAAAAAACTGTTAAAAATCAGAATGACTCCAAGAACAAGGTAAAAATCTCTCTCTTCTAGCTAGATGCATGAATAAAGTAACAGTCAATGGAAAGCCTTGGGTTAACTGGATTCCCTTTATTGAAAACTTTCAAAGTATAATTTATGAGAATGAAAAAGATGATTTCTCTTTCCTTCAACTATAAAAATACCAAGTTGTCTCTAAGAATAAAAACCATATACACAGAAGCAGTCCTCTTATATAACATTACTTGAAAATTTTAATGCTTTTGGACTTTTAAGTAGAATAGTGATAGAACAAGAAGGCAGTATCTTATTGAATAAATAGGTAAAATAATGGATGATGTTTGCTATTACCTTGCTGCTCCTCACTCTAGAAAGTTTATTAGGCAACTCTGTGTAATAATTTTTTTCTTTTTATTTTATTGGTACATTTTAGATATACATAATGATAACATTCATCATAGGGAATTTGTACTGTACATGATGTACCTTGCTGCTTCTTTTTTTCCAATTCCCCTCCTCTCCCTTCAGTCCCTTTCCCCTCTTTATTTACAAAAGCTTTGCTTCCATTTCTTCCTTTTTTTTTTTTTATCTCTTCTCCCCCTTCTTGGTCCCCTTCTCATTTCAACATTTTCTTCCCATTTCTCAATATCTATTATACATTTTGGACCTCATTTACACTTTTGGTTTCTCACACTAGAGAAACCATGCAGTATTTAAATACGTGGGTCCCATTTACTTAAGAGCATAGTCTCAAGATGCATCCATTTAACTAGAAATGTCTCAAGCTTATCCTTCTTTATGGCAGAGTAGTACTCCATTGTGTAACAAACCAATGTATCCATCTTTATCCAATTTATCCATCTGTTTATCCATGGATAAACAATTTGCCCATGTTTATCCATTCATTGGTTGACAGACATTTGAGCTGTTTTCCACTTTTTTTCCAGTTTGTAGATGTTACAAACTATGCCACTATAAACATGAGTGTGCATATATCACTGTGGTATGATGCTTTTACTTCTTTCAGGAAGATACCAAGAAGGGGAATAACAAGAAGGGGAATAAGAAGGGTAAAATGGAACTGTTAGTTTTAGTTTTCTGAGGAATCTCCACAATAATTTCCACAGTGGTTCCCTACTCTCCCACTAACAGTGGAGAAGTGTTCTTCTAAGTGATACTTTAAAGGCAAAAGAAACAACCAATATCCCCTTACCTTGTAAGATGGTAAAAAACACAAAATTCCTTGGCTCACAGTCTGGCACACAGATAACAGAAGTGCTCCCACTTCATCCTGGAACTCAAATGTTTCAGTATGCTGGAAGGTCGCACACAGATTTCGACCCTTAGGGCCTGAACCAATGGTACCAACCCAAACCTACAATACAAATAGTAAGAGTTATGCCTCAACAAGACATAAAAATTAATAGTCAAGAATACTCATATTTATATAAAAGTAAGTCCAGCAACAAATTTCACAGAAATTTCTTTTTTAATTGTTAGAGATTTCTGTTACCTCTAATTAATTATACATAGTTAGGTTGGTATCAATTCAAACAAAACTATCCTAATTTAAGGATAATATTTGTAATCTCCACAGTAGCCACAAAGAAATATCATAGAATATGCACAAAATAAAAAAGAAAGAAGGAATGTGTCAGTATAAATAATTCACCAAACACTGATAAGGGAAATGGTGAAGCAAAGGCTATAATATGGAGGGATTTAATTTACTGGAATTTGCTTTAGGTAGATCACTGAATTCTCTTAGAATGAAAGTTCTTTCAAAGCATAAAGGGTATTATTTCCTCAATAGGTTTACAAAATTAAGCAATATCACAATTACTTTCAGATTTTCTTTTATTCTAGAAATAAACTGAATTTCATGTGAAGGTTTGGTTGTTGGTCTTTCAGGTACCTCCTGATTTGCTTAAGTGGAATTAATAAACTTGAGGTTAAAAAGCCTGGCAGCCTTAAAAAAAATAAAAACTAACCTGTGAATTATTAATGACATGATTAGCCTCTAGTTGGATAGTAAATGTAACACCAAGCTCTGAAGAAAAGGAATTCATTGGTGATAATGTACCAGATGTCAAAACAATCGTCCGAACTCTGCCATTAATATCTGAAAATGCCTAAAAGGGAACATTAGATATGTAAAATGATCTTATAAAGAGTCAAACACATTCATTTAACTGTTGGTATCGACCAAAACAAAAATTTCAGTTACAACATGATAAGCTTACCACAGCTGGATTTAAGCACCAAAAGTTTAGCACGTGAACTGCAGTTTTCTGTCGTGAATGCTTCTTATTTTTTGGTAGAGCAAAGAATCCATTTTTATCTGAAATATCAGTGTGATGTGTCCAGGAGTAAGTCTGTTGAATAGCAACTTTATAATCATCTGCAAATCTAAATGCAAAGAAAATGCTAATTAAGTGGCAAAACATTATAAAACATGTAACAACCCAGTTACATACAATATAAAAACTGATTATGTTAAAACTCAAAGAATGCTGCACCTTCCCACTGAAAGACGACATTTTTCCCATCGCTAATTAAATTCAATAATTCTGATATAAATTAAGCCATCAAATCACAGAATAAACCAGTTCCTACAGGAAATACCAGAAATCATCAAGCCATCTAACCCTCACCACCCACTTCCCAATTCCATTCTCATATATTACATAAATCATGCTAGACCCAGAATTAAAATTCAGGTCAGCCAACTCCCAGCCCACAGCTCTCTGCTCCATACTACATAATTACAAAGTAGGAAATGGTATTGTAGTGAAAGAAGGGAAACTGTACTTTTAATCATGTAAGAAAATAGATCATTTTTGCTGAAAAGGTGTTAGCAACTAATTATGATTTTTTTCTGAAATCCCTTTAAAATCTCGATCTCATTCTTCATCTTCTTTCAATGAACATATGGAACCAGAAAATAAGCTTGGTGTGGTGGTACACACCTGTAATCCCCGCACTCAGGAGGCTGAGGCAGAGGGATGGCTGTGAATTCAAGGCCAACCTGGGCTACAAAGTGAGTTCAAGGTCAGCTTGAATGCAGTGAGATATCGGCTCAAAAAAAAAAAAAAGAAGATATACAATCCCACTCAGTTTATAACTTCTTTCGTAAGAGTCTATAAACTGCATAGGTTTAAACAAAACAAAATGTGGTATTTTCAACTATGTCCTCATAATATTTTACTGTTAATTCCATACCTAGAAAGATCAGATCTCAAAGTTCAAATCAGGGCCTCAAAAACTATGAAGGGAATTTTATTAAAAAATACCAGCGGCAAAAAACTATAAAATTCCAGAAAAAAAAAAAAAAAACAACTCTTCATGATATTACATTTGGCTATGACTTCTTGCATTGTACTAAGAGTACAGGGCTGGGGATATAGCTCAAGTGATACAGCGCCTGCCTGGAAGGTCGAGTTCAATTCCCAGTACCAAAAAAAAAAAAGGAGTACAGGCAACATAAGAAAATATAAATTAGATTTCAATATTAAAATTTTTTCTGCATTGAAGGAGATCATCAAGAAGTGAAAAATAACCACAGAATAGAAGCAAATACCTGTAAAGCATGTATCTTACACAGGATTGGCAATCAGATGATATGTAAAACTATTAAAGGATATTTCTCCAAAAAAGATATACAATTGGTCAACAAGCACATGAAAAGATTCTTCATATCTGCAGTCATCAGGAAGATAAAAATCAAAAAAACGTAATAGCCATATATCACTTGACACCCATTAGGAGTGATTGTACAAAAACCACAAAATAGTAAGCCTCAGTGAGGATATGGAAAAACACACATTCCATGCATTGCTAATGGAATTATAAAAGGACAAATATCAAGGGACTACTCTTATACAAGATACCTAGAAAGCGCACATTTGTAAGAATGGAAAGTAGGATAAAGGTCACTAGTGAATGCAGAGAGTGTAGAAGAAGGGATTGGGTACAGAATTCCTGTTTGTAATGATGAAAAATTTCTGGAAATGAATAATGCTGATGATTGTACACTGTCAATGTACCTTATGGGGTCGAATTAGTGTATATTCTTAAAAATGGTGAAGATGGCAAACTTTATGTATATTTTGGCACAATGAAGAAAACATTTTTAAAATTCCTAGAAATAGGTAGTACTTTAACCTGACAAGGAATAGCGACTTCATGAAATATAGCAAAGAGGCTCTCTGACACTGGTGGATATACATTCACGTTGTACTTAAAATAGAAGTGTTTAAGCTTAGTACTGAAAGACCATAAATTTAATGATGAATTAATTAAATGTACTTATTCATTTCAATATTCATTTTCACTATAAAAAAGACTAAGTGCAATTGATCTGAGTCTCCCAAGAAGTAGAATCAAATACAACATATCTATAATACTCCTACTCACCTAAAGTTAGTATGTATTGAACATGCTAGGCTGGTGATACAGCTCAGCAGCACAGCACCTGCCTGGCAAGTGCAAGGTCGTAAGTTCAACTCCCGGTACCAAAAAAATAAATAAATAAAATAAAATAGGCAAATCAAAGGCATAATCTTTAAAAAAAAAAAACATGCTAACCTCCAAATAAGACATTTTTAAGAGAACTACAGATATCTTCACTTACCTGCTATTTTGCCTAAAAAGATAGTCAAGCACCATAAAAAGTCCTTTGAGCATTATTTGAGTTGAAGCACTAATAATGGGCACTTCTATTGTCTCCTCTTTACCATAAATTGGTGAGACTTTTTCTTCTTTTTGAAGAACGGAAGAAAAATGCCCCTACAAGAAATTACCATATTAAACATGAAAGTTGAGGGAGTATGGGATTAGGGAAAAACTTCCTTAAGCATGTATTGAATTTTAGGTATAACTTGTTAATAAACAGTGCTAACGATGTATTTTGGATTCCCATATTAGCTAAATTCTCTTCAGAATAAGATACTTTAATAATAAGTTAGCTGTTTAGAAGGTTCATTACTTCATCACACAATTAGGGCACTACCGAGTGCCCTTCATGAATAATGAGCCAAACAGGTTGCCATGGTTTATGTCGTGATGCCCCTTCAAATACTCATGTGCTCACAGGCTGGGCTTTTGGAAAGTGATTGGATTATGGGTGTTTATAGCTGAGGCAGGGTCTGGTGGGAACAGCAGGGTCACTGGGGGTGTGGCCTGGGTTAAATCTCGCTCCCCATGCCTCCCTTCTCCCTCTCTCTGCTTCCTGTTCCCCATGCAGCTCTCCTTTGCCATGCCATCCTGCCTTGGAGCCAGCTGACTACAGACTGAAATGGGAGGCGAAATAAATCTTTCCTTATGTTGTGGATGCCAAGTATTTTGTCCCACCAATGAGGAAAGTAACTAAGACACAGGCAGTAAAAGGTTTCTCCACAGAGCTTGAAAGAATTGATATGCTGCCCTAAATATATTTAAAATAAGTGAATACATACATATGAATCAATGACATGGGTACACATAAGTCAACATGTTCACAATTACTGTCTTTGAACTAATGAGCCTTTTTTTCTTTGTGTCTTTTTTTTTCAGTTTCTTCCTCTGACATATTTCATTTGTATATTTTTATTGATGTGTAACATATAAAGGAGAATGCACTAATCTTAAGTGTACAGCTCACTAAGCACACACACACCCTAGTAACTACCACCAAGTCAGGGTACAAAACACTCCTAGAATCTCAGCTGTTCATCTGTGCCCCTTTTCACCCCCAACCACTCCCAACTCTTGCACAGCAGTAACCACTATTTCATCTTGTATGACTACAATTAAGCTTTATCTGTTCTTAAACTTCATAAAAATAGAATCATAGAGTTTGTAGTTTTTATGTTTGGTTTCTTCCAACACTATATCTGCAAGATTCAACTGTATGGTTGTGATTTGAGAGTAGTTGTTTTTATTCCAGGAATTGCCAGGCCCCAGGCGAACCAGGCCATGGTCTGTTAGGAACCAAGCCACACAGTAGGAGGTGAGCAGTGGGTGAGAAAGCAAAGCTTCCTCAATCTCTACAGCTGCTCATCACTCACATTATCGCCTGAGCTCCATCTCCTGTCACATCAGCAGTGGCATTAGATTCTCATAGGAACATGAACCCTATCATGAACTGCACAGGCAAGGGCTGCAGGTTGCGTGTTCCTTATCAAAACTGAATGCCTCATGATCTGAGGTGATGATGCTAGTGCTGGGGATGGCTACAAATACAGATTAAGATGAGCAGAGGGGTTTGAGTACATAGAGACCATCCTAAGTCTGCTACTTACAGACTCCTACAGGAGCCCTATCAGGGAGTGCCAAGTGACAACTGAGCTGCATCTGGCGGCAGGCATTTAGGATAAAGTGAGTTGATGCATTTCAATTGTATAGCTGTATCTTGTGGCAGGCTTTAAGTCAGAACCCAACACAATATAGCGAGCACGTGGCCTGCCTACTACTTTATTTTCCACTTGTTCTTGTACCTTTCCTGCAGCACACACTTGTTCCAGTCACAGTTCTGGTGTGCCACAAGCTAACCCTCACCTACTGAGTAAATATCAAACAAAACTAGAAAGCTTCTTTAAGAAGACCCAATAATGAGACAGCAGAAGACTCTAAGAATGCCAACAAAAAGAAAACTACACCTAAAAGAAAATACCAAGAGTCCTATTTAAATTTTAGGTTCACTGCAACAAATGATTCACACTCTTCAAGCCTGCTTTGTATAATATAAGGTGACCAGATATCCAATGAAGCCATGAAATGTTCAAAACTGCTTCTCCACATAAAGACCAAGCACCCTGCATTAAAAGAAAAACCTTTGGGCCAAGTGTAGTGGTGAACACCTGTAATCCTAGCACTTGGGAAGCTGTGGCATGAGGATTACTTCAAATTCAAAGCCAGCCTGAGCTACATAGTGAGACTTAGGATGGTCTCAAAAAAAAAGCCTTTGGAGTTTTTCAAAAAAATGTGAACATGAACAACAGCAATTATTGAAGGCCACCATTGCATCAAATGTGTCGGTACTCAGAGCATCATTCTTAGAGGCTAACCACACTGCTAAAGCTAAGAGGCCCTTCCTACTGGTGAAGAGTTGATTCTGTCTGCTGCCATAGATGTTTGTTATGAACTTTCAGGAAAGGCTGCAGCTCCTCTTTCCTCTAGCACTGTAACCAGACTAAGTGATGAACAGCCGAGGATACCGAGGTGCATTGTTAAAGAAGATTAATGAGTCACTAGGGCACAAAATCCAGGTTGATGAGTCTACCAATATTGACGAGGCAACAATGCTGTTTTTTTGTGATAAATTTTTCAGGAAATGTGCATGAGGATATGTCATATGCCTTTTTATGTTGACTACCAAGACCACAACTACAAGTTTGATTACATATCAGGAACACTGAATTGGTCATTTTTTGTCAATACATGCATGGGCAGAATGGCTGCAATGACTGGATGGCTTTCTGGTTTCACTACTCAGGTCAAAGAGGTTGCTTCTGAATGTGAGTCTATGTACTGTGTCATCCGAAGAGAAATGTGGTTGCTGAAAAATACCATCTGAACTTAACATCGCTTTGCAAGATGTGATTAGAAGTATCAACCATCTTACAGTACACGTCCTCAACCCATATATATTCACACAGCTCTGTAAGGCGATGGATGCAGAGCACATGTGTCTTCTCTTGTACACCAAGAGCAAGAAATGGTTTTCTATAAGCTGACCACTGGTCAGAGTTTTTGAGTTACAGGAGCCACTACAGAAATTTCTTTTAGAAAAAGTCACCACCGGCAGCACATTTTAGTGACACAGAATGGGTCATAAAACTTGCTTATTCTTTTGACATTCAACCTGCTCAACAAATGCTGTGTGTCATTTCAGGGGAGAATGGGACCTATGCTGAGGGAACTATGTTCAAGTCAGCAGTAAAGTAGCTTTGTTCAAAGCCAACCTGGAATTATAGGGGTGATGAGTGAACACTGACATGTTCAAACAGGGGCAGAAATTTTGAAAGAGAATGAGCCAGGGCTTTCTTTCTGCCAGCTGGTACACGCTCACCTACCTCAGCTTTCAAAAGAGTTTGAGCATTACTTCCAACCACAAAATACCCGCAAGTGGGAAAAAGAATGGATCTCTAACCCACTTATGAACAAGCCAGGTGAACTGACTTTGTGCTAGAAGAGAATCAACTGCTTGATCACAATAGCGGCCTTAAAAGTACTTCAGAGACAAGTTCAAATATTCATGTGTTTTCGGTTAAAGTCAAGGCAGAATATCGTGAGATTACCACAAGAGCATTAGAAAGCCTGCTTCCATCTCCAACATCCTATTTTTGTGAAACAAGGTTTTTTTTACAGTGGTAACAACCAAAACAAGATTAAAGGGTAGACTGGACATAAGCAACACACTTCAACTGTCACTGTCTCCCATTAGCCCCAGTGGGACCCACTAATTGCAGGAAAACAAGCTCAGGGCTTCCACTGATTCTGCATTATGGTGAGTTGTATAATTATTTCATTATATATTACAATGTAATAATAATAAAGTATACAATAAATGTAATGTGCTCGAATCATCCTGAATCCACCCCCAACAATTGAGGAAAAAATTATCTTCCATGAAACTGGTCCCTGCTGCCAAAAGCTTGGGGGACACTGTGTACAGTATTGTATTTATGAATATATTACAACTTACCCATTTACTACAGATATGCCTAACCTCCAAAATAGAATTTTTATGGAAAAATATTATAAAAAGGTGTTACAACATAGGAAAAACTCCTACAATTATCACACTGCATTTTACAAATGCGAAGGTTATAAGTACAGTGTGATTAAAATATATTTTAATAGTCACATGTACAAAACACTGAATCTACATGAGGAAAATTACAAAATACTGATAAAAGAATTCAAGAAAATTTAAATAAATGTACATATTCCATTATCCTGGATAGGAAAATATAATATTGTTAAGACATCAGTTCTTCCAAATTTGATCTAAACATTCAATCCAATCCCAAACAAAACCCCCTTGGGTTAGAGATCAACAAACTGATTCTCAAATTTAAATGCAGCTAAGTGTGGTGGCACACACCCATAATCCCAGCACTCACGAGGCTGAGGCAGGAGGATCCTTGCAGGTTCAAGACCAGCCTAGACTACGAAATGAGCTCAAGGCCAGCCTGGACTGCATAGCGAGACCCTGTCTCAAAAAGACAAAAAATTAAATAAATAAAGTTTAAATGGGAGACAAAAAGCCCAGAATAGTGAAAACAATAATGAAGAACAACGAGAGAACTATCTTACTCTAAAGTTATAATAATCAAGACAATGTGGTATTTATGAAGGAACTAAAAAACTGAACAGAAGAGAAAATTAAAGACTTAAATCTCAAACAAAGGAGCAAAGACAATCTAGTGGAAGATAGACTTTTCAACAAATTGTACTGAAAGCATTCCATGTCCACTTGCAAAAATATGACTCCAGACATCAGACTTTGCAGCTTTCAAAAAAAAGTCACTCAAAGTGACTGACAGACCTAAATGTAAACTGCAAAACAATAGTACTTCTAGCTTGGGACAGTGGTGTGTATCTGTAATCCCAGCTACTCAGAAGGGTGAGGAAGGAGGAGGGCAAGTAACAGGCCAGCCTGGGCATCTCAGTAAGACCTTGTCTCTCAAAATAAAATTTTAAAAAGATGAGGGGGGATATAGTTCAGTGTTTCCTGAAATCAATCTCTAGTATAAAAAATCCTTTTAGGAGATAAGATAGGAGAAAATTATGTGACTGCATGAGTGCAGGTTTGGTGATGGGCTCTCATATAACCCTAAAGCCTGATCCATGAAAGAAAAACACTGACACGCTGAATTTTTAAAACCTTAAAAATGTGGGGCTATGGGGTACGTGGTTCAATGGTACAGCACCTTCCTGACATATGTAAGGCTCTCAGTTCAATCTGTAGCTCTTCAAAAAAAAAAACAAAGAAAAAAGCAAAAACAGTGAAAAACTTCTGCTTTGTGTAAGACACGGTTGATAGAATGAAAGGACAAATCACAGACTAGGAGAATACATTTGGGAACACATACTTGTATTCAAAATACACAAAGAGTACCTAAAATTCAACACTAAAAAACAACCCAATTGAAAAGCAAGCAAAAGATCTGAACAGACACCTCACCCAAAGATGATACAGAGATGGCAAATAAGTACATGAAAATGCACTCAGTATTATGTATTTAGAGAATCGTAAATTTAAACAACAGGGAGATACACTATACCCCTATTAGAATGGTTAAAATGCAAAACACTGACACCACCAAATGTTTAAGATAAAATCTTGTTTATTGCTAGTGAGAATGCAAAGTACTACAGCTACTTTGGAATACTGTTTAGCAATTTCTTGCAAAGCTACATATTATTTTACCATATAATTCAACAACTGTACACCTATGTATTTACCTAAATGGGTAGAAAGTATGTCCACACAAGAACACAAGTGCAAAGGTTTATTTCAACTTACTCATATTTGGCCAAAATTGGGAACCACCACTACGTCTTTCAGTAGGTGAATGGATAATCAAACTGCAGTACATCTAGATGATGGAATATTTTCAGCAATAAAAAGGAGCTATCAAGCCCTGAAAAGTCCTGGAGGATGCGCAAGATGTTGGGTGTGATCCCTATCACCACAAAAAAGACATGGAAGAACATCGAGCACATAATGCTAAGTGAAAGGAGCCAGTCTGGAAAGATTACGTATTATACCATTCCAATTATACAGCATTCCAGAAAAGACCGTGCTATGGAGTCAGTGGTTGCCAAGAATTTGGCAGGAGTAGATGATGTAACAGAGAGATGAACGGGTATAAAAGATTTTTTAAGGACAATAAATGTATCCTACATGATACTATAACGGATTACTAGGCAAAATTTAGTTGAGCCATACAACACAAATACTGAACTCTAAACTAAGTTATAGACTTTAGTTAACAATAATGTAACAATATTTGTTCATTATTGTAACAAATGTACTCTATGACACTACTGTCAGTAACATGGCAAATTCTAAACAGCAAAATTTACTGTTTTCTGTAGAAGGGAAAGATGGAGTAGGGTAGGGGGGGATACGACACAATAGGTAGGGAAATGGAAGAAGTCTCTTTTGGACTGAAAGTTGAAGTATTTATTTAACATACAACCAGATGGGCTGGTGATATAGCTCAGCAGCACAAGTGCCTGCCTGGTAAGTACAAGGTCCTGAATTCGGTTCCCAGCACAAATAAATAAATAAATTAATTAATAATAATAATAATACTATACAACCAGAGATGTATGTGATGCCAAGGGAAGCATCAGAATTCTGAACTTTTTGTTCAGTTTTTCTCTTAACCTAAAATAACCATTCTAAAAAATAAAGTATATCAATTTAAATAAACAGAAACAAAAAAGAAAATATAATATCATCTGCTTAAAAAAAGAAACTTGAGATGATTGGTTATGAAACCTCTGCCCAGAAGGATGTACAAAAGTACATACCTATAAAATTTTGTATACAGTTTAGTAAGTTTCATAGTCCCTAAAACTCACTCATGATCATTATCCATGAACTACAAGTTTGTAATCTCTAAATTAAGGTGAACAAAATATGAACTTTTTCTTTTTATTTTCCAAAAATTTTTAACTTTTATAAATGACAAAAAATTTACAACTTAAAAATACTGACTCCTTTTAGTTTTGAACAAAGCAATATTTCCCTTTTTTGTTACTGCTAGGTCTTGTTTGTTCTTTGAGACAGGATCTTGCTGTGTAATTAAGGTTGTAACTCACTATGTACTCCCAGCTTGCCTTGAACTTATGATCTTCCTGATTCTAGAGGGCCAGGATTATAGATGTGTAGCACCATACCCAGTTAATACTTCCCATTAAAGCCTTATTTCCTTCACACTACAATGCTATTTTCACCTATAATTGACTCACGCTATCACTTAAAGGCGATCAGATTTAGATAATAAAATAAAATAAATTGCTAATTTTTGCAAAAATTCTAGATTATTGTTATGGTTGGCGTCTAGATGTCCCCCTAAAGCCTCATGCAGTCATGGAACGGGCTTCTAGAGTTTATGACTGATTCATGGTCCAATGCTGGGATTATTGGTGTGAGTGCTATATCCACCCTGGGGCAGAGGCTTGCTCACCCTGCTGCTCCTTTTTGCCCTTGCTGCTTTTGCTGTTTTCCACTGCTATGAACTATTGCCCTCTGCCATGTGTCACTCTGCCTTGGAGCCAGCTGATTATAGACCAAAACCTCCACAAACTGTGAGCTAAATAAACCTTTCCTTCTTTAATTTTGGGTGCCAGGTATTCTGTCTCAGCAATGAGAAAAAAGTAACCCAAGACAATTATTCACTGGACTTATTATGAATTTACTCAATACTAAATCACTTCTAATTCACTAGGTGGAGAAAAAAAAAGAATCTTACCTGCAAAATGGGAAAAGTAGCAGTGGTGATGCCCATTTTGTGTAAATTTAAAAGCATTTCATTTCCACTCCATATTTTACAGGATGATTCATAATCCCTTTCTACAAGATGTTCACTGTTTGCTTCTAACCAACTAGAATAAAATAAAGCAATCCTGTCAACAGTAACATTCTTAGGTGTATTATTTCACAGAACAAGAGGTGTCATTTTGTCACACACTGATGTCTATAAATTAAAGCTCTTAGGACATGAATGTGGATTAATTAAGACATCTCTGAGAAAAGATGCATGTTTTGTACTGTAAAATAAGCATTTACAGTATGTAGCTAAAAAATAAGCTTTTATTCAAAAGAAATATACACGTATTTTGTTTTATAGATTCAGAATGTTTTGCTTGGTCAATGTCTCTCCAAATAAGAGCAAGGTATTTGGTGTTTATCCCAAATGCACATAAAAGGAAACATAAAAGCAAACCAAAAAATAATCAAACTGCAGTAAAAAAATAAAAAATAAAAATTAAATAAATAAAAATAAAAAATAAAAAAAATAAGTAAATATGCTACTTATTAACATAGAAAATTATTCAAAAATAAATTCACTGATATATATACACATTCATACATATTTATACATTCAATAACTATTTTATACCACTGTTCTAAGCAATAGAAATTACAGCAGTACCTAACATAGACAAAGCCCTTATTCTTAAAGAAATTATTGTCTACTAAAGGCAAAAATAAACACAGAAACAAACAAATCTCAAGATATATAAATAAACACGATAATATATTAATATATAACGTAACACAATGTAATGAAAATAAATTTTTTTCTTTTTTTTTTTTTTTTTTTTTTTTTTTATTTTTCTCTGGTACCGGGAACCGAACTCACGACCTTGCACTTGCCAGGCAGGTGCTTTGCCGCTGAGCTAAATCCCCAGCCCCGAAAACAAATTAATATAACCTAGTTGCTACTTCAATTTGAATACCTACGATATTCTTCTCCAAATGATATTCATTCTAACAAGCAAATGTAAGAAGTATTCAATCACAGGAGCATTGGGGAGGAAACAGCACATTCCAAACAGAAGAAATAGCTAGTGCAAAGATTTTGAGATGGTTAACAAATTGTGGTTCTTTGAGAGCCTGAAAGAAAGCCAATGTGAGCTGGGCATGGTAGCACATGCCTGTGATCCCAGCACTTGAGAGGCAGAGGCAGGAGGATCACAAGTTCAGGGCCAACCTGGACTACACAGTGAGTTCAAGGCCAACCTGCACTACAAAGAAGACCTGTCTCAAAAAAAAAAAAAAAAACAAATATAAGCCAATGTGATTATCATAATGAACAGCGATAGAAATGGTATAAACAGTGTGACAATGATAAATGGATTCAATTCACTGTGAGCCAGAATAAGAAATATAAAATCTAATCAAAGTGCAAAGGAAGTTTCTAAATAGAGTTTTCAATGAGACTATATATTTTAAGTGTTTACAAGAGGACATTACTAGCTTCCAAGTCAGAATGGACTGCAGGACAAGAACTACTCATCAGAAAGATCAAGGTGGGACTAGAGAGGTAGGTCTTTCAGTCCAAATTCCTAACTTCCCAGGAGGGGAAAGGCACTGAAGGTTGAGATATGATTTACTCAACCATGGATATGAAATAACGTATTCCAAAGGACTGTTCTTGAAAGCTTCAGCTAGCTAACTACATGGAGGTTTCTAGAGTGACGCTCCAGAAGAGGGCATGAAAACGCCACTCATCTCTTGTATCTTTACCTATATATCTCTCCATCTGTATCTTTTATAACGTCCTTTAAGGACTAGTAATGCTAAGCATTTCCCTGAGTTCTATGAACTACTCAAGCAAATAAAGAGAAGGGTATGGAAACCACAATTTATAGCTGGTTGATCAGAAGCACAACTGTGGCTTCTGGCTGGCATCTAAAGTCAGGGGTGGGGCAGTGTTGGGAATGGGTTCTTAACCTGTGGGATCTGACACTATCTCCAGGTAGATAATATCTGAATTGAACTGAACTGGATTAGACGACACTCAGTGATTTCTGATGCAGCAGAACTGCTTGCTTGCTGGGAAAATCTTCACACACTAGGGATAGGAACAAGGAAGGCTTTGTATTAACTGATGTGACAGTAGAGAAAACCTTCTTCTATTACTCAGAGGCCTCTTAAACAGATTACTGCAAATCCATTCAATGGAATTCTAGGCAACTATTTTTTTTTCTTTCTTTTTGCAGCCTTGGAGATCAAACCCAGGGCCTCACAAACAGTAAGCAAGACCTCTCCCACTAATCTAAACCTCAGCTCTGGACAACTAGCTTTTAAAGCTAAGAAAGCTGCCAGGCTTGATGGCGCATGTCTGTAATCCCAGCACTTGGGAGGCTGAGACAGGAGGATCCTTGTGAGTTCGAGGCCAGTCTAGGCTACAAAATGACTCAAGGCCAGCCTAAACTGCATAGCAAGACCCTCTCTCAAAAAGATAGATAGATAGATAGATAGATAGATAGATAGACAGATAGACAGACAAATAGATAAAACTAAGAAAGCCTCTAAAGGTTTGATATGAAATGATCTTTAAAATACATGAAAAAAGCTGGATGCAAAAATAGAAGTATATATAGTATGTCACTATTTGGACAAAAAAATAAAAGACTTAGAGAGTACATCTATATTGACTCACACATACATACGTAAGTATGCCCTGAATGACAAACCTGTGTAGAAGAACAGGAGGTAAACAGTAAGAGATGAGATGAAATGAGGTTTTTACTTTATGAACTTGTAGAGATTTTATGTTCAAGCCATGTTATCGTATAGCATTCAGATTGCTAAAAACTACACAATGAAGGAATCCGAAAAATACCATAATACATGGAATGGGATATAGACAGGCAGGTTTTTCATGAAATAATGAGATTCTAAATGAACAACATAAAGTCAAATAAAAGGGAAATTTTCTAATATAAATTTTAATAAAATTAGTACTAAATATTTTAGAATACTGAAATAGTGGTTTATTAAAAACCATCAAATTAGAATCCAACTCAAATTGGAGAACAAAGCAACAAATAAAGCCATCATCTAAAACTTTAAAATATGTTAAAACCATGTTTAGTTTCTGTCTTGTTTTGTTTATAGCCTTTCTGTGGGGCTGTTAAATTATCCTACTTAACTAGGAATAAAACTCCAATTATTCATTTTAAAAAATCAATTTGGTTCATTATATTGTTTTGAAGAAGACAAAAGTTTTATAAAGTTTTACTGGCAGAGAACCCAATTCCCAAGTAGCCTGGTTAATCAGTTTAATACTATGGCATAATAAAACATCTTCTTAATACAAAGGCAACACACACTAATAGACAAATACTCTTACTTAATAAGACTACAGCACACAGCTCGTAGGGGTTCGTGGTCTTTCTTTCTTATATTACTGGTGACCAAACTATCTAGTTCATCTCTGGCAAACCGAAGCTGAACTTCTGTTACACTGTAACTTGCTGATTCCCTAGCACAGTCTTCAATGTTGTGAGCTTCATCTAAAATGACAACCTGTTCTTTCAGATTTATATCCATCTGTAAGATAAAAGAATTTTCCTGTAAAACATCTGGCAAAATGAATTTAACAGCAGTAGACAAGAGATTTAATTTAAAAAGTCACACTTTTAGGCCAACATTGCAAGTAGTACGATTACATAAGCAAGTGATTATATAAGCAACTGATTCTATGCCTTAAAAGCTTCAGAGGAGCACTAAGGCCAACCAAATACCAGTTTTACAGTGCACAGTTTGCCATTTCTTACTATCAAAACATTTTGCAAATCTATCCAGGAAAATGTACGCATTAAGTGAGTCTGGATCAAGGAACTACTGGTTATACGGAAGGGTATAAAATCCCATGAAGGAGTTTCCAATATAAAACAGAGTATCAAGCCTTTAAAAGTAAAATAATAAGAGTCAAAATGACTCCCAAAATACCAATACAATGTATGTATGTTTACTTTTAGTCTGTCTCGTAACCCTTCATTTTGAGCATTGATCTCCCCCGACTCCTAGGTAATGCCAGTAGAACTACTAATCTGTAAATCTAGGAAAGCTACTATTCTCACAATAGGGTTAAGGTTCGGAACCTAGGCTTGTCAGTCACATGAAGTACTTCATCTCTTGCAGTGACAGTGACTGAGGCAGGTTCAGGAATGGATGTGTGGGAGCTGGGGATTTAGCTCAACAGCACAGCACCTGCCTGGCACGCACAACGTCATGACTTTGATTTCTGGTACCAGAAAAAAAACCAACAACAACAAAAAAAAAACCACGAAGGAATGGATGTGTGATCCAAGATAGGCCAACCAGACTAATTCTGAGGGAATATGAGATAAGGTTCTTTTTTCCAAATTAGCTAACTGCTTATGGCTTTCTTCATTCCCACAAGAAAAGAGCTTAGCTGGGTATGTGACTGTAATCCCAGCACTCAGAGGCAGGAGGCAGGAGGATCACCATGAATTTGAGGCCAGCCTGGGAAACACAGTGAGCTCAAGGCAAGCCTGAAGTATACAGCAAGACTCTGTATCAAAAATAAAACAAGAGCTTGCCTGAGAAAAAGCCATCACAATGGAAAATCAATTGTTTCTGGAGCTCCTTCTTTTTTCTTTTTAAGTTAGGTTTGTGTCACAAAGGAGATCTGACCAATGTAGGGAAATGTCACAAAGCAACTGACAGTGAGTTAGTCTCAGAAAGTAAGAATACACAGAAGGCTAAAAACACCTAAGAACCATGAAAAAATAAAAACAGACTGTGTTCACAGATTAGGACAAAAATGAGCAGAGCATTTCCACAGAGATGTAATTTAAAGCAGCGATCTAGGAAAAAACAAGGTATCTTCTGGGGACTATATGATAATTTTTTAAGGGTTCAATTTGGGAGTTTTATGAGAGAAAGCTCAAAAGGAAATCTAGGTCAGACTTTTGAATGTAAATTTAAGAAAGATGGACTTCCTCCCAGAGGAAAGGGGACAACGGCAGATTTTTAAGTAGGGAAAGAATGTAGTAAGTAACAGTAGGAAAACTGACTACATTGATATGTGCAGTGACCCAGGGGGAAGATACCTAGACAAGAGACAACCAATAAAAGGATAATATTAGTGGTAGTTAGCATAATGCTTATTAATTTTGCATGTAAAGAAATAGCAACCAGTAAGAAACGCAGTCAGACCTAATGAATGTAAACACAATGGCCTATACCAACTTATTTACTTTTTACGTCTTATGCTGTAACACTTGGATGTCTCTAAGAACCAGGCAAATGAAATCTGAAGCTCATTTCTCAAAAACTCAGACTATAATTTTATAGTATTTATATACTCCCAACACAAGCTCTTCAGAACAGCTTTTTCAGAGACATGTCTTTAAGTAATTATTTGACTATTCGTGAAAGTAAGAATGATGGTTATGAATGGTTATTTGAAGAAAATATGCAGTATCAGGAGACATTTGATGGTCACAACTGTGAGGATGCTACTGGTAAAAAGCAGGGATGCTATTACACATCCCACAGCACACAAGACTGGTCTACCACCAAAGAATTACTCAGCCCCAAATGTCACTATTGCCAGCATTCAAAAACCCTGGTACATGCCAGGCATGGTGGCAGATGCCTGTAATCCCAGCTTTCACGAGGCTGAGGCAAGAAGACTGCCGCAAGTTCAAGGCCAGGCTATGCTACATTAACAAGTTCAAGGCTAGCCTGCATTACAAAGTGAGACCCTGTCTTAAAAACAAAACAAAACAAAACAACCCTGGTACAATCCCAGTTGGGTCACTAGGTTCTTAAAACTGCTTATTATTTTCAAAATTAAAATGACTAGCTCTAAAATTCATATACCTTAGAATATGTTTTCAGTACTGTGTAGTCAGACCTGATGAATGTAAACACAACGGCCTATACCACCTTACTTACTTTTTACGTCTTATGCTGTAACACCTGGATGTCTCTAAGAACCAGGCAAATGGTTCTTAATCTGAAGCTCATTTCTCAAAAACATAAACTCAATATAAAGCAAAAAACAAAGCCATTAAAATATCAAAAAGCTTTTATGTTCATCATTTATACACCAATAAGTAGGAAAAAATTACTCTAATCTTTACACATATACTTACACTTTCCCTTATTTGTGCATCTAGAAGGTAGTTGTAGGGACAAAATATTATGTCAGCATCTTCTGTCAGTTCTCGAGCTGTATAATATGGACACGCCTTTAGTTTTCTTCCCAGGCTGACAAGGTCTTCTATATCCCAGGCTTTGTACATCCCTTGAAGAGTCTGGAATGTGTGTTGGTCACTAATTTTATGAACACCATGATAAAAATAGCAGGATTTTCCCTAAAAGACAAATATGTATAATGAAATGGGAACCAATACTAAACTAGAATGTTTTACCTCAGAAGCATAGGAACATTATTAAAGCCACAAGGCTAAGATTTTCCTAAAGAGCCAAATTATGCCATAGTTCCACAATCATAACTTCTTCTGTAAGAGATGGGGTCTCTGGCCCTACATTCCAGACTCAAGTACACCTCCTGCCTCACTGTCCACAGACAGCTAGGAACATAGGTGCATGCCATCAGGGCTAGCTACAATCATAACCACTTTAAAGAAACTATATTAGTTGACTCCAAATCAGATAGAGCTCCAGATCAGTTAACCTCTAAATATCCTAAATCAACTAGAGAAAAATATTTTAAAATTTAAAAACTTCTTGTGATTTTGCTCTGATTAAAGTGATATTAGGCATAAAATATTTATGAAAGAGTACACAAAAAACTGGGCGTGGCGGTGCACTCATTATCCCAGCACTAGGGAGGCTGAGGCAGGAAGATTGCCATGAGTTTGAGGCCAGCCTGGGCTACCTAGTGAGTTCCAGCCAGCCTGAACTCAAAGCAAGACCCTGTATCAAACAACAACAACAAAAACAATACACAAAGCTAAGGTATCCCTGATTGTTTTTAGAGATAGGAACTAAGTGACTTCGGAACAGGAATAGAAAAGATTTTTCTCTGTAGATTCATACAAAGCAAAATTTCCCCAAGCACAGATAATTATTAACCATCTAGCCACAATAAATATTTTCATAAAACTAGATTTGCTTATTCTTCACCATTTTATTAAAAACTGTATCAGGAAAATCTCATATCACTAGATATTCACTACTATTCACATAAATACTTTAAATAAATGTGCTAAGTTGATGAACTAGTTCCCTTATTACTAGGCAGTTATACTGTTAACAGTTTCTACTTTATAAATAGTACTGCCTATTTATAAATGAACTGCCTTATGTTCAGTTCTAAACATTTCCTAGTACTGTACATTTTCAGAACTGGCGTTATGGGATTACAGACTAAAGAATTTTTAAGTTTCTTGAAAACATTCCTAAATTACCCTCCAGAAAGTATGTATTATTTTACATTACCCATTTCTACATCTTCATTAACACTAATATTCTTTTCCTATGTTTGCCTATTTAAAGGTGAAAAATAGAATCTTCTTATTTTGATTTGCTGTTTTTTGTTTGGTTGGGGTTTTTTGGTACCGGGAATCAAACCCAGGGCCTCACGTTTGCCAGACAGGCGACCTGCTACTGAGCTACATCCCCAACCCTGTATTTTTTTAAAGCTGTCAACAACATTTAACATTTTGTAGGAGGTTCAACAGCAATTTCTTTCTTCTCTGTTATTTACTAATGTCCTTTGCTATTATTGAAAGTAAAAAAGTCTTATTACATGCATTTTTTTAAATATTTGATAAAACCCAGTCCTAGCAAAAGTGCATCATATACTATTTTAAAATGTGTAAAATTAGTATAAATGCACACTTTTAGTAAAAGTATAAACTTCTAGTAGCAGAAGTACACCATCAATTTGTAAAAAAAACTTAAAGTTTAAAATCTAACCATTAATGTTAATATACAATATATGGACACTGCACTGTTTAATAGCTAAAAACTGGAAATAGGGCATGGTAGGGCATGCCTGTAATCCCAGCCCTTGGGAGGCTGAGACAAGAGGAACACCATGAGTTTAAGTCACTCTGGGCTACACAGTGAGTTCAAGGCTAGCCTGGGATACATAGCAAGACAAAAACAACAAAGTAAAAACTGGAAATAAATGGGTCAACCACCCACAGAATACACGTTAAACAGATGACTAATTCATACAAAACTTATCACTCTTAAAAATGAATTACATTTGCCTATGTGCTGATATGTTATGCTTTCTAAAAAGAATGTTAATGAGTACTATGTTTTTTGGTCTACTAGTGTGGTTATTAATCTGTATGTATGATAACTAACTTTGTAAGGACTTACAAATAAATGAATCTGATGCTGGTAAAAAAAGGGCAAGGGGAAAAAAGAATTGAGATGTATTACATACATGTACAACTCTCCACAATGAATGTACCAATTCTCCCAGTTCTCTACACTGAATAATCATTATGTACTACAAACATGTACTAATAAAAATTTTTAAAAATCAAATAGCAAAAAAAGTTGAGAAAAATAGTTACTAAATAATGTATATAGAGTGATTAAATTCATGTAAGTTTTTTTTAAAGAATAAATACGCACGTATTGTAACAAATGCATTTTTAACATGTTCTAGAAGAATGCACATAAAACTTTACAGTAGTTTCCTTGAAACAACTGGCTCAGGGGACAGGAGAAGCTCCAAAGCCAGAGCTTCTCTTCTTATTGAATGCCTATAATTCTGACTCTTTTAATGATGTACACGTAATATTTTTCTGTTTCAAGTGTCATCTGGCACTAAATGGTGGAATGAGACATTTTTATTTTCATTAATTCCATGTATTAATAAAAATTAAATGTAATTTTGAAGTAAAAAAATATCTTTCCTGGCTTATTTTTAATAAGTATAAAGAAGTATATGTATGTATATGTATATATGTATACATGTGACATATATATCTATGAACTGTCACTATCCCAAAGGAGATGAATCCACACTTTCAAAACATACATACATCTTATTAAATATACTGATGTTCCTACAAATTATTAGAAACAAAATAAACCATTCAAGTTTTATAACCCATAAAAGAATGCCAGCAAATCAAAAGCCAAGACATGAACAGTGGAAAACTAGTTTTCCTAAAGTTCTGTACTGAGCCATGTTCAGGGACGCTATCTCTTGCTTCTCCAAAATACTAAAAATAAGTATCAGGAAAGGCCTCACCTAACTAGTATTTAGTATTTCTCCAAAATACTAAAAATAAGTATCAGGAAAGGCCTCACCTAATTTAGAAGGCTAAATTTATTTAGCCTTCTAAATTATTTTCATTTACTTATTTAACTGTTACTCTTTTTTTAATCTACTGCTTTTTGTTTTTTTAATCTTTCACCTTCCCCCATGCTCTCATACCTTTTTTTTTCCTTTCCTAGTGTAATCAAAATAGAAGTAAGAGTTACAAACTTGGGTTCTAGTTCCTCCTTCGCTAATCACTTGTCTGACTGGGCATACTTCAGGATCCATTTTTCTCATGCAACTACGCATCAAAAGAGTAGCTGAACAATAGCCTTTTAAAATTCCATCTGACTCATTGGCTATACCATCTCTAAAAGCTCCTTCCAGCTCTAAAATTGTGATTCTCAGATCCACAGAAAGGTGGAGATGTGCCAATTATCTTTCATACTGAGTCTGATACCGACTCTCTTTAATAATATGGTTACCATTTCTTCATTTCAAGCATTTTCTCTACAATTCTGAAAGTTCATCTTTGCATAAAATGATCACTAAGATGCCTTCAAAATCTATGATTGTGAACTGCTCAGTCTCATTTTCATGAAGAATATATTCTGCATCTAAAGTACTTTTTTTAGAACTGTCATTTCTGACTGTAGTTAAAACTATTTTTTCTTAATTGCTACACAAATTAACTTCTAACAGAAAGTACATACTTTTCTAGTATGAGAGCACTTTAATAAAAGAAACAGTGAACAAAAAGCACATGTGCCTTCAGATCAAGCCAAAAAATCAGAACGTTTACACTTTAAGGGCACTTAGAATGACAGCTCTGTACAGACTGATAGCAAAACCAGAAAAGCACATCCATTTTAGCTGTGTAATACAACCCTGAGGGGAGTCTGTCAATTGAAGCGTTATCACACTTAAACTCTTTTCACTCAAACTGTCAGTTATCTATTTATCATTTCGCTTTAGTGATTCAGCCATGGTAAACATAGACACCTATGGTGACTTTGTAATTGGTCCTCATTACAATACCAAATTACTTTCAGGCCTTGGGAACAAGAAAAAGAATGGTTCATGTATGCCCATGAGGCAAGCATTCGGAGGCAGAATTACAACTAGGTCAAAGCAATCCATAAGCAGGTATCTTCAATTATTTGTGTTACTAACATCCAAAAACAAAATTCTTGCTCACTTTAGAACAAATAAAAGACCAATGAGTAATTCCGAATATTGAAGTCTACTGAATTTCTTTTTATTTTTACATGATTCAAATTTATGACAATAAAAGAGCAAAAATATAACCAGCATTCTGGGATTCTAGAAAATTATAAGCCTATCTGCCTTCAATATACTGCCTTAAACTTTTCAGTTCTTTTACCAATGCATCTTATCAACGTATGTATTTTTTATATCTGTAATTTCCTCAATAACAAGTAAAAAAGACTAAAATATAATGACAATGCCAGCAAATCTTTCATAGACTATATAGCTAAAAAGAAATTGAGGCATGTGAGGAATTCAACAAATCACTTCTTCTGGAAAGAAACCTATCTAACATGAAATTTGTGGTGTTTTACATAAGAGCTATTTCTTTTTTTAGCATTTAATTTTTAATGTTTTCATCTCTTCTTTAAAAGAACTTTTAAAATATATACAGTAAAAAGATTTCAAAGCTCCTCACAAAGAACTACATGGAAATAAATATGATTAGAATTTCAACAATGATTCTGATTCAGTAATTCTATATTTTCTGCCTGGCTCTGAACAAATCACTCACACTTTTCCACTGCAGCGCCTTACAAATTTTACTTTATAATTTTATAATGTTTGAATATCTATTAAAGTATCTTTTAAATATCCCTACATCTTGAATAAATTCTCATTTAATTAAAGCACTGAGAAAGAAAAGTATAATATAAAATAATTTATTCACATTATATGGCAGGAAGTAATATATCACTAAGAGGAAAGTCTAGGGGCCATAGCTCACAATCTTTTGTTTAGAATCACTCTCTTTGATAAAATACTAATAAAAGATAAAACTTTCAAAATACATTAAATATCACTGGCCACTTCATATATCAGTTTACTGATAACTTCTGAGTAGATTTTCAGACTTGCAACTTCAATTATAAGGTAGTTATACTGAAAAAGACTCCAAAATAATACTGCCCCACAAAATATTTTAAAATCATAATCTTTAGTTAGAAAGACTATTCTATTTCTCCCTCACCCAAATTCATAAGTTCCCTGGAAAAGTTCAAAACCATCCAAGAGTTAATAATCTAACTTTTAAAACAGAATTTTGAATCAATTAGAATTATGAGGTGGGATAAACATTATATTTCACATTCAATTAAAAACCATTTAAAAATTTGCTCAGACTGCCTAATTTTCTTTTGAAGTTTTTAAATATGTAAAATATATTAATGAGGTCTACACGGACTAGTTTCGTATGACATCATCAACATAAGACTTTTTTGATAAAGGAATTTAAAAGAAATATTAAGATAATATCTGACTATAAAGGTAACTAATTTTAAGGAATTAAAGATCTCTAAGCTTTAGGACCTAAGCCTATAATTTGAAAATTGAATAAAGATCTTCTCATGGTAAAATTATTTTTCAAAAAATATAAATACCAGCAATTATTTTATTTTCCGAAGTTATTTAACAGTGTAAAAGTTCTGTAAAACATAAGAAATCTGAATCTTTTCAGCCTTTTTTTTTTCTATAACAAAATAATTTTACTCACATTTTTTCCATCCAGCAATTCCATGCACTTTTCATTTCTGCTGAAGTTACCAACTACTTCAGGATGGACACAAGTATGATCCCTGCTGGAAAGAATAGTCATTGGGACCCCTGAATACACTGTCTTCCGGAGCTCTCTAGTAATTTGAGCAATCTGCTTGTGTGTGCGTGTCCCAAAATATATTTTGGGCCTCTTGAATTTCCCCCCATGATCCTTCTTAATGGTATTTGAAGACTCTTGACTGTTTCCTTGTTTAGTGGAACAACAGCACCTAGAACAGTGGCCAGGAGGCTGTAACAAAGGAAAGAAAGAATAAGAAATATCTGGACTACCATAAAAAGCGTTAGCAAACTTTTCATGGAAATCAGAACTTATAAGTAATGAATCACCATCTGTCAAAGAGAAAATTTCAAGATAGTACACTATGTAAAACTTGCCCTTAAAGAAAAAACTCCATTTCAAAGTAATCCTCTTTCTCTTCTAAAAGTTATAAATGAGCCAGGTATGGTGGTGCATGCTTGTAATCTCAGCTATTTGAGAGGCAAAGGCAGGATGAGTGCAAGTTCAAGGCCAGCCTGGGCAACTTAATGAGACTGTCTCAAAATGAAAAATAAAAAGGGCTGTGAATATAGTTCAGGCAGAGACCTTGGGCTCAATCCCCAGTACCAAAAAGGGAAAAAAAAAAGGTTATAAATGATGTTTCCATATTTGCATTCTTTCTAACACACTACTCTACCTTGCCAATTCCAAATGTTTCAAGTACATTTTAACCCTTCTGATAACATTGTTATGACAAAGTAATTTTAACTTTTGCTTAGGTTTCATGCGAACTTGAGATATAGCTTAGAGTTGATAGTTTTGCTCATATCCTTCATTCAAATACTCTATATTAATGTGCTTAAAAGGAATTTTAAATAATAGTTTACAAAAAAATAAAAATATAAAATTAAATTTCAACTATCACTAACAAAATGAATAAAGAAATTTCTTCTTTTGCAAAGGTATGAAAACGATGCAAAATGTTAACATTTAAGATGAAAGCAGGTTGCTTGTCTGGGACAAGTATATCTGAAATCTAGTTACCTACCACAGAAAGGAAACCAGATAAAATTTTTATCCAGGACAGCTTTGCCTAGACAATTCATTTGTAATTCAGTTTTACAACTTAAGTAGTTATATAAATGTCTCCTTAAATACACCACATGGAACATAAGAAATATAGTCAAATATTTGCTTTGTCTGTCTCCTGTTTCCAAATTCACAAGACAAAAAGTTTTCCACTTTAACACTATACTTTAGAACTCATAGATTCTGAATAATTACTCTCTTCAAAGCCTCAATTAGCACACCAAAAGAAACAAACCTAAGCCTTGTTTAAGTAAAATACTGTGAAGTGGTCACTGCTAAGGGAAAAAGGTAAAAACACACTAATTGAAAGAATTTGTACTGGAGAATTTCAGTTTAGTAGAACAATTGCTTTATTAAAATTTTTAAGTTTTTTTAAAAAATTATAATCAGTAAGACCAGTCTTCATATACAAATGCTAACTCATAGCATGTTACACCACAATACTGAGGATCAAGCTCTTTTACTCTCAACTTAGTGGAAAACCAAGTTCGGATTACTCCCAGTCTCTCTCAACCTTGTCCGCCATTAAATATTACAATACATGATAGAATGGATGTAAATGTGACCCTTCTGGAGCTGTCACTCACTGGGATAAAAGGTTCACTGATGTGCCAAACAAACAGTCAGTCAAAGTAGATAAAGTTACAGCCACGCTGGAATTGTTACATTCCCCTCTCAGGTTGCCAGTAACAACAGATACTATTACAGAGTGCTGCCACATTAAATAGCCAGTTCCAAATATCCTGCCTTCTATATTGAATAATTACTTATTCACTGAAAGGATAAAAGGAAGAGTTATGAATGGAGCTCTTGTCAACAGTGAGGCAGGAAACAGCTGACATGTGGTTTATGTTACATATGTTGCAATATCCAACAACTTGTGGTCCCAGAGAAAATGGAATGCAAATTATACCATGATACTTTGACAGCTCTTTTTTGGTCTTTACAATCATCACATTAATTAATTAACATACCATGACGACTGAGGTAACTCTAGGTAGCAGAATTAGTTTACTTTTTCCTATCTTCAATTTTTTTATGCAATTTTATTTCTCTTCCTTTTGATACTGGTAAATTCACTTGAATGTAAGGATGCTAATACATTGTTTTTTGTGCTATATGGATACATCAGATCCAAGGATAAAAGTAATTTAAAAAATGATTCTATCTCAAGGCTTAGAAAACCCACTTTTTGATATAACACTTTTTAACATTAATTCTATAAAGTTTATCATCTTTTAATTCCTGACTACCCAAATTCAGATGACATAGAAATATACACAATAAATAAATATACACAATAAATAAATATACACAATAAATAAACCCAAGACAGGGTTTCACTGTGTAGTTTTTACATTATAATTCAGAAAATTATAAACCATGGCCATTTTATATTAAATGTATTTTTGTAGTTTTAAAGTGACCCAAATTACACCTTTTACAAATTCAAGGCAGACTCCTAAAACAATGGTCTTCAATGAATGACCAGATAAGTAGAGTACAAGACAGAAATTAAGAAAGTTGATTCTTTTTCCTCTGCATTATTAAAGAAGAATTATTTCTTTAGAAGGGACATTTCATTTAAGTTTTCATTTAAAGGATTTGGTACATTTATATTTGGAGATGGAAAAACTGAACATGGCATTAAAACAAAAGCTTCAAAGGAAGCACTTATTTAATAACAAAAGAGAATCACTTATAACAAAATTAGTAATTTTAATGCTGTCAGAAAGAGAAAGAATTCCTGAAGACAGCAATGACAGGAGGTCAGAATATCCCCCAAGGCAATAACAGGCTAACATTCTATGGCCTTTCTCTGAAATCTTTTGTGACCCAAGAGTCTTACTTAGCCAAATAAAACTAAATAGTTTTATACTTTTCATTATTTCTTCTGCTAACAAGTAATCATGTTTAGCTTATGTGTGTATGTGTTTTTAGGTTTATGTTTCAAAAGCATGTTTTCTCCTTTTTCTCTTTAAATTTTTTATTAGGAAACTAGAATAAATTTAAAGTCTTTTTCCTTCAACAAAAGGCAAGTAAACCCTACACTAATAACAACAAAAATGTAGTATTTAAAGGGACATATGAAGGACACATGTGGATATGACAGCTGTTAATATTTCCATCTGCAGAACTTGACTTCAAAATTGTATTTCAAATTTACAATAGCCAAAACTGTTCCTAGATGATCAGCAACCAAGGACTTTTAGAAAATTTGCCATCTGTTTAACGATTTCCATTTCCTCTATTGTCCTATTACATAAACACATATTATCCACATTCTCTGAAAGAAGGAGGACTAGAACATTTAATCTTGTAAGAAAGGCCAACTGCTGAGGCTTTGCCACTATTCCTTTCATAAAGTTATAATTGGAAGCTCAGTAAGATACTAAATGTCTATTACTAAATTTCTTGACTTTTCCAAACTTTCATGACACACTCTCCCAAAACAGAATACCTACATCTTGAAAAATAAACCGTGATTAAATATTTTTAGAAATTAAAAATGGTAAGGAAATAGAAGCTAACTTCATTACCAGAGAAGTTGTTACTGCTATAATGTGTTTTATTAGGAGAGCTCCCAAAAGGAGACTATCAACTGAGTTTTAAAACAGATATAAGAGGGTATATGAGCACAAAAAATAATACATAAAGAAGTAGAAAGGAAGAAAGACTCAAAAGAGCTGATTCATATGAAATAAAGGGGAAACTAGGTATATGAAAGAGTAATATATTTTTCATAACTTTCCACATATGCATGTATTGCCTTTTGAACCACACTGCAAATTCCTTAATGACAAAAACTATCCCTTACATTTTTGATATGACTCTTTCACTTACTATAGTACTCTGTACATAACTGTAACTTTGTTTTTAATTGATCTATGACCAAAAGTCCCTAAACCAACTGCTATACCAACACATCACATTCTTAAAATCTGATGGATGCTTAAATGATATCCTAATATGAAGTGCTTTAAATTTCAAAACGGTACTTCAAAACCAAAAGATTGGCTTTTTAAAAAAAAGTACAGGACAAATTATTATTTGAAGTAAAAAAAAAAAAAATCACCTTATACTATTTGAACCCCTTTAGTTGTATTATTAATAATAACTACCATTTATTAAGATTATCCCTGAGCTAAGCATTTTACATGTATTATCTTGTTTCCCTAATCCATTCATTTAAGAAACATTAGAACCCCTGACGTATTAAGCCCAGGAGAAAGACAATAACAAGGGTCACCTCATCTCACTAACAGAGTACTTCTCTCTTTAATTGTTCTACAAAGTACAGTTTGGGAGTTTATTAATACTAGTTTCACTCATGAATTAAGGAATTGTTTAAGGTTAGTTCTAAGTGCATTACTTTCTGAGTACAATTACAAAATTATAATTTTTGTAAGGGTAATTATAAACTCAATTCATAAAATTACTGACTGACATTCAAGTTGCATGGTTTCTAACAAGATCCATGTTATATTCCACAAGGGACAAACAAAAACTTTCAATTACAGGACGGAGAGCAAGAGCCAGCAAACTTTTTTCATAAAGGGTCAGGGAGTAAATATTTTAGGCTTTGCAGGCTATTTGGTCACTGTTCTTATATAAGAAAATATCCTTTAAGATCCAAATGTAGTGAAGGATTCATTCAGACAATAACTCAAAAGCACAAATACTGAAAACACCACCTCACTAATGTGTAAAACTTCTACTTAAAAAGATAACTGCCTTTTAAAAAAGGTCAAAAAAAGACAGACTAATAGAAGGTAATTGTAATACATAACAAAGTGAGAATCAGTATCTTAACACATAAAGGATTCCAATAAATCCGCTTTTTTTTTTTTTTGGTACCAGGAATCGAACTCAAGACCTCAGGCTTGCCAGGCAAGTGCTTAAGCTTATGAGCTATATCCCCAGCCCCAATAAATCCATTTTTAAAAGACAAATTCAATAAATAACTAATAGGCAAATCACAAGACAAAAGCTGAAAGGCCAAGAAATATCTGAAAAGATATGCAACTTAATGGTCAACCTCGTTAGTAATTAGGAAAATGCAAATTAAAACCACCATTTCCATTTCACATATCCATTTCAGATTAGATGTTGGAGAGGGTAGGAAAGAACCTATAAACTGTTGATACAAGTATAAACTGGCA